CATTATTTAAATTTGACTTAAACTAAATCCTATTTTATTGTCCCCTTTTAAAGTTTCAAATCCCTTTTATAGTTTCAAATAAAACACTTAACAACTAAACAACTATTGTAACCTATACTAAAGTCCCCAGATGCCCTACACTAAATGGTACGATGAATGAGCCAACTGGACGAATTTATGAATGCGTTTGAATGAATTTAACTGAACTCGGATGAATTTAAATGAATTTGAATAGAATTAAATGAATATGAATAAATTTAAATGAATATGAATGTAGTCATGAATTTAAGTAAAAGTCCAAATTTTCTGCACTCTTGCACTCTCCCCCGCCGCCCCGGAAAGAAAATGTCCGCATTTTCACTGGTCTCGTTGACGCTCTAGATGTTCGTCCCCCGGAGGAGCGCGTCTTCCGGGACGCAGTGCGCTCGTGACGGTCTTCGCGGCCGGCTTGGGCGCCCCGCCTCGGACCAGCCGGCGGGTGACCCAGTGACAGAGTGCTGACGTTGCTGTCGCTGACGCCGGCGAGTCGTGCGCTGGTGGTCGCGCACGCCGCTAGGTGGCAGCACCTCCCTGAGGCGTCTCCGGCGGTGTTGTGCTGGTGGCCGCGCTCCGCCGCGCTGCAGATGTTGGCGAGTCCCCCCGGTAGGAGTTTTGGGAAAACTCCGCCGCACCTCCTCCTGACGGACTCGGTTTGGGGCAGCCGTGAGCCGTGGTCTCGGCTGTGCCTCCTCCCGAAGGACTGGGCAACTCGATGGGCAGGATGCGCCGCTGGTCCTCCCCGCTGTTGGTCTGCGAGAGGGAGCGTTGCGCCGCCGTGCTGCAGGTGTTGGCGAGTCCCCGCGGTAGGAGTTTTGGGCAAACTCCGCCGCACCTCCTCCTGACGGACTCGGTTTGGGGCAGCCGTGAGCCGTGGTCTCGGCTGTGCCTCCTCCCGAAGGACTGGGCAACTCGATGGGCAGGATGCGCCGCTGGTCCTCCCCGCTGTTGGTCTGCGAGAGGGAGCGTTGCGCCGCCGTGCTGCAGGTGTTGGCGAGTCCCCGCGGTAGGAGTTTTGGGCAAACTCCGCCGCACCTCCTCCTGACGGACTCGGTTTGGGGCAGCCGTGAGCCGTGGTCTCGGCTGTGCCTCCTCCCGAAGGACTGGGCAACTCGATGGGCGGGACGCCGTCGCTGGGCCTCCCCGCTGTTGGTCTGCGAGAGTGGGCGTTGCGCCCCGGGTCAGGTGTAGACGACCCCGGCAGCAGAGTGGCTGGTTGTAGTATGCACGCCTTTCGGTGGTAGCCCCCGCGATGTCTCCGGTGATGTTTCCGCGTCCCTGGTACGTCAGGCGAGCCAGCTCATTCCCGGCGCACCAAGCCTCCTCCGTCAACGGACTCGGCCCCGGGCAGCCACTATCAGGGTGTGGTAGCGGCTGTGCCGCCTCCTCGAAGGACTTGGCAACGCTTCTATGACGCTCCTCGGCGACCTGGGACTGGCGGTACTCCGTGGCAGACCCAGTGAGCAGACAGGAAGGAGAAAGATGCAAAGAGAAAAAGAGAGAATTTTAAGATTTGAAGGCTGTAGCGTTTTAGTCAGTTTTTAAGCAGAGGTCCGTCTTCGTTGCCGTCAATGTCCGTTTTGAAGGGTCCGTCCGTCCTCAGTCCACTTCGTCTAGGTTAGTCATTATTGCCCGAGGGCGTCGCACCCAGTTCAGGGGCAGTTCCTCGTCCCGTACCCGGTCCGTGGTACGGTGCCCCGTCCTGGCCCGGAACGATGAACGGTTTGGACTGGGTGCGGGTCTGGGAGTGGGTGGGTCTGGGTTTGGGGTATTGATTTGGTTTGCCGGGGCAGGCCCCCGTTCTGGACTGCTTGCCGGCGATGTCGAATACTTAATTTTGAAAAATAGGATAATTAGAGCCAAAGAATTTATAATTATTACTGTGCCAAATGCGCCTAAAAGGCCTATCAACGCCCAGGTTTCCCCCGGGAACAGCTGGTAGGACTTGAATTCCGAGCTGGACAGCAACTCGGGAACCACAATTGACGTTGCCGGGCGCCGCGTGATGACATGCGGCACCTCTATCGTCCAATTGTGGTTGACCAGCCCCGGGTCATTGGCCAGCTTCGGTGCTGTCGTTAAATCCAGGAGTTCGGGCAGCTCGAAGTTCCGATTAGATCCCCACTGTGCCGGCAGCAGGAACTCCGTGTCCGGAGTTTGAGGAGCAGCCGCCCCCGCCGTGAGCCTCGGCCGTATAGCCACCCTTCCGTCCACCGTCAATGAACAGTGGGCCGGGAGGGCGAGCTTGAACGCTCCGAAGCCCACGCCTTTGAGGTCCTCGGTGCGCTGCGTCCCTGAGCACATTGTCACGAGAGCGGCCCCTTTCGGCGCCGCCACTACAAACTCGTGAGCCTGTAGCCGCAGCACCTCGGTGAGCACCTGCTCGTGGCAATGGAACTCACAGGAGCCCAGCGCGTCCTGGACGGTCCGTTTAGTGAGCAGGGCATGTATGCACCTGCCCGTCTCGCCAAACGACCCCTCCACCCGAGGAATTTGGCAGATGGTATTTGCCCGGCAGTACGACTTTTCCTCTCCTGTGAAGATGGCCATGTCCTGGTCCGATGTTGCGACCAGGACATAGTCATCGTCCACCTTGATCCGGCACAGCGTGTCCTTCCACACGAACGGGATCGGGGTATACCGGGACACCTCCCAGGCAGCTCTCACCTGCTTGAGAGGGACTTTGACAAAGATATGGACCGCATTTTGTACCATCGAGCACGATGTTATTGGCTCAGTATACAGGACGGACAACTCCTTGACGGCCAGAACATACCCTTGGTATTGGGTTTTGTTCAGGGTCTTTGAGATGCCGTCCTGCAGCTGGTCAAGCGGCACGGCCTTCGCACACAGGTGTTTACGCGCGCACGCCCCCATTAAGGAGTGTAATGTCAGCTCCTCTGACATTACGTGTGCCAAAGTGGTCGAAAGTTGAATAAATTTAATTAGGAAATCCCGGTCGTGTCTCAGGTCCTCGAACTTCGATTCTGCCGAATCCTGGAGGTATCGAATCGCCGTTCCCATTTCCCCCACTGTCGATTGGACCTTTGCCGTAAAGTTTTGGAACTGGTCTTCCAAAATAGTCACGTCCTTGGTCAAGTCAGTTTGCGCTGACACCGCCGATTTCAGAGTATTGTGGAGGGTAGTCAAATCCGTCACTATAGGGGTCATCGACTGCTCGGTCACCAGATCACAACACCATTCAAAGATCTGACCGAGGAGCGCGATGCCCCTCTTAGTTTTGTATTCTCCCTCCACAATGTCCCTGTCGTACGTTATCAGGTCCAGCACCGCGTTCACGGTAGCGTTCCAGGCGTACAGAGATTCCCTGCCTTGGAAGGTCCTCCACTGCATCCTGGCCGTCACCCGGTCCGCTTGCTTCCGGAGCGCGTCAATTGGTATGTCCGGCAAAGGTCGTATAAAGTGCAATGTTTCAATCGTCTCGGCCACGGCCTTCCCCGGCAAGAGTTGTCTGTAGAGGCCCGTTGTTATCCTGGTCGTCGTTGCCCGCCACTGGGTAGTGGCTGGCACCGCGTCAGGGTCCGTCATGGCCCCTACAGCCCCCACCAAACACAGAACGAAGGAGATAGTGAAAGACATAGTGAGTAGGCAAGAAAATTACCGATCTGTAAACAGAAGAAATAACCCAAATTAAGAAAACAACCATGGAACCTTAAGTAATTTATATACAATTGAAAATATCCCTAACTGATTACTAAACTAATTACCCCACTAATTCCACGCTAACACTACTCCCCGCTGTCCGCTGCTACGATTTGCAAATGTTGCGGCCGTTCCTTAAATGGTCTCATGTGGCGGACATGGAACTCCTTTACCACTTGCTTAAGTCCCCCACCTTGCGGCAAATTTTGATCAACCAAAACAAAATAAAAGAGCTGGGACTTCCTGCCCACTACCGTAAAAGGACCTCGCCAAACAGCGGTTTTTTCTGGCCACCCTAGATCCTCCGCCTCGTTCTTGACCAAAATCTGTTGACCCACGTGATAAAACACTTCCTTGCGCCCCGCGTCGAAGGATGCCTTGTTGCGCTCTTGTGCCGCCTTGATCTGTTCATGTAAATTTTGCAAAAAATTGGAATGGTTATTAATTTTGTCCTGTAAATTTACATCTTCCCTCGGCAATAATTGAAGGATTCCTGGAACATGCGGATGATAGCCAAAAACTGCAAAAAATGGGGAAGTGTCAATGGTAACATGGTAATTTAAATTGTACAGCAATGTTGCCAGCTGCAA